AGTGAAAATCATACAAGCACCCTGTTTTATACCCAATTCCCAGATACATGGGGAGCTACGTATAGATCGAATCAAAGATCACATCTCTACAATTTCGATAATGCTTTTATACTTCACTCCACATTTCTCACTTAACAAATAACTTTAACCTAGACGGATAATGCTGCTGCACCCTGCCGCCATCAAATCCAAATTTCCCAAAAAGATAAAATTTTGCCCCCCTCGTTCAAGCACACTGATAAAACCAATCAACATCCAAATCCTAACATTAAAGCATGTAAATTTTTAAATAAAACAATAAAATCATGTCCCAAATCCCAATCCAATTCCAACACCTTAAAAAACGGAGCAGTTGATGTCAAGCGTCAAGATGCCAAGGATGCCTATTCCTAACAATAAAATCTATTGTATCCAAGCCCTTGAAAGGCCACATGGCCGAACAAGAAGAAAATAAATGAAAAAAAAGAGGTTTTCTTACAAGCTACATGATCGTGAGCGTCACCAGCACTCAATTATTCGGAGCGCTGAACCACTCATACGGAAAGGTACAGATTTCCGAGGAGTCCCCTGCAATATTCCCCTTACGCCAAAAACTGTTGGGGACAGTAAGATAGAAGTGTTTCACAATGATCCCTTAATGGCAGATATAGACAAACTGAAATATAATTTATTACGTAATCGTTGCAAACAATGGCAGGCAATTTTACGTACATTTTAGCCCATTTTAGCCTAGGCTACATATTTTGAAGTCCTTCAAAATATCAGGAATTGTAGGCATTGGACAGCTAACAGGAAGAGATAAGAGCAAAGATTCGTCAATGTTTATTTTTACCAAACACGTTGCTCACAAATGAATCCAATTTTAATATCACAAGGAATGTCATTGAGTTCTCCTGTTTCAGAAATAACAGATCCACAGTCTTCATTTTTATCCCAGTCGTCTGGTTGACCTCGATGCCAACGGGAATAATCGAGAGCGGACACAGGATCTCCTAAAACAATGAAAAACATTTATAGAACTGAAGTGTAAAAAATTCGAATTTTTAATATCAAAGAATTTTTTTTGAATAAATTCCATTTAACAAAACATCTTTCATCAATATTGCACTTTTGTAAAAACTAAAATCTTTTGCAATTTTTGAAAATTCACAAAATTTTGATAGTTCAACACAAATGCTCCCTCTGCCATTTCTGTAAACATGTTTCGCTCTCTCCGAGGAAAGGATTAAAAGAAATACGTTTGGGCCACATTTTAGAAAAAAAATCAAAATATTGTTGACGCTTCATGTAAAGCAGCACCAAAAAGCAGCAAATATTATCTTTTCCAAATTCAAGGGGTCACAACACCCATTGCAGGGTTTAGGGAATAGCAATTTTGGTGAAAATCCTGCTTGCTGTTTACTGTAGCTGCAAGCGTTGATCACAGACGGACGAACATACGTTCGGTCAAACACGAGGACAGTATCAAGGACCCACCAAACGTGGATTCAGACTAATATCTGTCCAACCTTTGTTGATCGAGAGATTGAAGAAATGCGGGTACAGTACGTAGTTACAAGTCGTCCACTTAAGTAATTGATGTAATGCCAACCTCTTGAAAATCTAGTAAGAACTTGCTACTGACGCGGACAGTTCGATAAAAAATTCAATACGATTTGTGCTCCACATTTTCATTATAACTTAATTGATTTTTCCCCCCAGTACATCTCTGATAGAAATGTTCTATTTCAGATTCGTATTTATAATCGCCTGGTAATATTGATTAATTTCTTGACTTAGAAAGTGACGAATATTATTTTATTGTAATAATTTCTTCTTATCAATGGAACCAGTCTGCAAATATTTTTAATTATATATAATACTACAAATCAACTCTTCATTCGCAAATATGTGAAGTGTTGGAAACTATGTTGAAAAATAGTATGTAAAACATATAATTAAAGTATGAAAAATTGATTCCTTGAATGCTATCTTTTTCTTATCGGGCTTAGCCATTTCTTTTGGTATTATCAAGAAAAAGCACGAAGAGACGTTCTCGGCTTTGAAAGCAACTAGCTTCTTTTACGCCCCAACGAAGTTTCTATGTTCGGAAGGTATAATCACTGCTATCTGCGAGTTTTTGCCTTTAACTGTTTATTACTCAAGGGAGGGAGAAGGGAGGCCTTCGGCCAAGAAATGTTTCGCGGTTACTCCACAGTCTGCTTAGAAAGAGTACTTTACAACACGTAGGAACCAGATACATTCACTCTGTCGCCACCAAGTCCCACCACTGAGTTTTTATGTCAAAAATCGCAGGCATTACAATACAGCATTATAATATGTGCTCTATACTGCGTACGGACTGTACGAGAAAGTAAAAATGTAATTGCAGAAGGGTTATAATTTCCAGATGTTTATTAAAATCGGACATTTGCCCAAGCATATATCATATTAATATTTGGAGCTTTTCCAACATATTTCATGTCTTTTTCACTTCCTAAGAGTTCAAAAATAATGTTAAATTCTCAATTACAAATTTTATATATATGTTTTGCTGTGATTGAGCTTGTTACTGATTACTTAATGAACTGTGCCAACACTTACAGCAACTTTTTTTGCTATAACCTTAACAGAAATAAGACAGTCTTTCCGAATAATGACAAAGCGAGTTTCAAGCGAAGGAGTTTACACTTTAAATGGCCGACCAGGACGTTGCTGCTGTGTGTACAGTTTACTTTTAAGGTGGTGGGCGCGCACTATATTAAAGTACACGGAACAGAGGCACTACCCACTCCATCAAACATCTCGCTACGAGAGCGAGTCTGGGGCAGCGTCAGCGACTGGTATGTAAAGGGTGGCGCCCGGAAAGAGAATAGATTGTGACAATTACTAGACAAAATAATTTAAATACGCACTAAAAATTGTTACAGGATATCCCTCTTTGTAGATGTCGTTAAATCCAATAGACATCCATGTCGACAGATTCTGTTCTTGCTTCAGCAGTTGCACAATCTCTCTATCCTCTTCCTCCGAATTGATTTGATTGACGCTCCAACGCTGGAACAATCTTTCGTTTAGCCCCAACGACGCCACGCACGCCAGCACCAGCGCCCACGCCACGCGCCTTCTACGCACACCAACAGGCACCGCGCTCACGCTCCAGTACTGGAACAATCCTTCGTTTAGCCCCCGCCCCGCCACACACGCCAGCCCCAGCGCCAGCGCCCACGCACCGCGCCTTCTGCGCACGCCAACAGGCACCGCGCTCACGCTCCAGCGCTGGAACAATCCTTCGTTTAACCCCAATGACGCCACGCACGCCAGCACCAGCGCCCACGCCACGCGCCTACGGCGCACACTTACGGACACGACTAAATAGGAGCAATCCTGATCCACTCGACTACCAGTGTGCCGATGCTGGTGTGAATAGTTCAGCAAGTTTTTTAATGTCTCTAGCAGAGAGTTTAAATTCATTCGCAATTTTCGTTATCGTGGGGGTTGTTAATTATTGTTTGTAAGGTGCAGAAATATATATTATCAGTTATCGTTTTGCGGCTAAGCCAACTAAAGGACTTCCGAAAATAAATGCAGTATTTGTTTTCGTTTGAAATAATGTTTCAATCAACTGTGTTACCTTTTCTCGTCACATGTTATTGAAACTGAATAGAAGTTCACCCTTTTCTTAACAAGATGCGACATCTTTAAATGAAGACATCTACATTTCTTTAAGTATAAAAGGTAGAACCGTGACAGTATAATAAATATGAATAACCGCTCAAAACACTATCATAAATTTATGTTCATTCTAGACATCAAAATATATAATATAATAAAATTAATTCCTGTAGACACTAGTGGTGTTACAATAGCCTGTAACTCTCGATCGTATTACCATGCAAAACGTTTTTCTCACCTGTACGTTATCATCAGGTTTTCTTCACTTTTTGAAGTGTTTGAAATGATTCAAACAACCCTTTTATGTGTTTCATTTTGAGCTTTCCACGAAACAAGATTGTGTCATCAGTATAAACTTTAATGAGAATAAAACATTTTCTGGGTCGTGATGATAACCCTTTCCTGGTTTATATCTTCCGCGCCCTACATATTGAGACACTTTCTCTTTCTTGAACATAGTTCGGTTTGGTTTGGATTTATTGTAGTTTAGACTTGCCAGTTGTTCTAGGATTCCTGGAGGGTTTACCCCATGGTATTAAATTAATATTTGGAGTTTCAATTGCAAATTATAGTTAAAATAAGCCTTACACCGAAGGCAGATTTGATTCCGATTCGATTCGATCGACCATACCGATTCGACCGCAGGGTTGGTGGAGAATCGAGATAATAGCCTGCAAGTCGGCAACACCGCGCGCGTATCCATCAACATAAATATTAATGGATAGAAATTAGAATATCTCTAGTCCCTGAATGAAACGTGCAATCAATTATATTACAAATTGATCACTTCGATATTACATGAATCTCATATTCTCTTTAAAAACAGACTTCATTAAGGCAAAAAATATTTGGCTTCAATATTATAATAGTAGTAATAGTAATATTAGTAGTAATATTAGTAGTAATATTAGTAGTAATATTAGTAGTAATATTAGTAGTAATAGAAGTAGTAATAGAAGTAGTAATAGAAGTAGTGGTAGTGGTAGTAATAGAAGTAGTGGTAGTGGTAGTGGTAGTGGTAGTGGTAGTGGTAGTGGTAGTGGTGGTGGTGGTGGTAATAAGATGCCGAAAAAATTAACTAGAAGCTATAATCAATTTTGTAGTTGAAGGAAGACATCAAAACAATGTCAACTTTTGCAACATTTAGTGTTAAACAATGAATACCAGATCTATGTCAGCTTTATAAATGTATTTAACTCTATTCTTACCAGAAATTTAAAGAAAACTTATGAAGTTTTTTTTCAGAAAATTTTGAATATATCTCAAGGGCTTCATGTAAAGCAATCCCAAAGTTAATGTAACTTTTTGAAAATCGCAAAGCTTTGAATGAGAACATATCGACAGAGTATTCCACTTGGAAAAACTCCTACACATATTTAAGGCGCTAGTGTTGTTCACAGACAATTGGACATTTCGACAGACGGACATTCGGATGGACGGTCATTTTGAAACTAGTAGTGATTCAGAATGGCACAGACTCCCTTGCTGGTCATTTTTTTATCTCCTTTCTTTGTCCTGGGACATAATTTCGGTCTTGCAGCTCCCTCTCTCAGCTACAACTTTATCGTCGCCTGGAGTACATTATCTTGAAATTCTCGATTTCCTAAAGGCAGAACTGAAATATTACTTTAAGAATATTACAGAAGAGTGAAACTTCGTTAGAATGGAAATTTGCGATGAAAAATTTGGAACTGCTTTTAAATTAAATTGCGTTAAGGTGCTACTGTAAACTAGTAAAATGTGCTGTAAGCTGTTTTAAAAATAGTTTAACGTGTTCAACATTTCTTTCATAATTCATTTCTTTCATGCCCAGCTTTCTTCAAGTATGTTATTTCAGTATCTGTCATGGGACTTTAACCAATGAATCGTAGTAGCTAATAATGTTATACCCCCGTTCAAAAGTTCCAAACACCGAACGGCCTTATATGTTACCTCCATACAGGATATGAACTGGTCTTATTTCAATTTACAAATTATAATCGCTGTAACAAGAACATGCAGGTTTTGATTATGCTAATTGGCGGAAGTGATGTGCGCAGTGGACTGTAAACTGACACATGTAATCTGTTGCACGTCATTCTCAGTCATCGTTCCATGACTCTAAATTCTTACGTTGGAACGAAGGATGGGAAGTCGGAACAATTGGAAGCTTGTGGAACGTGTGTGAAGCTGAAAGATAATTAATTGGGAGTTTGTCTCCATCACACCAAGTCAAAGAACTAGACTTATAGTTTTTTACAAATGAAATTAATCGTAGGGTTATTTAGCATTTTCAACTGTGGAAATTATAATGCTAGATTAGGTTTAAGAATATTGAGATGACAATGCTGCGTAATAAGACGCAAGTCTCTCTTCACAGCCACGGGCCGTTTAGTAGCTTCTAAAGAACGGGAGGCGAGGCGAGGCGTGGCGTGAATGGATTCCAATAACCAAGGTTCTTTTGCGACCTTTCGAAATGCATTTATAAAACACTTTACAGAAATGGTTCGTGCTGAATCCTGACTGTATTGATGTGCGTGTCGAAATAAATATAATTAAATTAATAACTAAGTTGCTTGCATGAACCCTAATAGTTAAATCTTAGTATAGCTGTATTTTAACGTTATTTACTAATATATACAAAAAGTAACCTGGCACATTTGCAATACCACAAATGTCAAATGCACAAAGGCAGATCATTCCCAATTATTTCCGAAAATTCTGTCGCAAAATCTTTTACAAATACATTCGATTGTTCCAGTAGTAATTTTTAAATATAAGATTGCACGTAAGCCATTCAGACATATGTAAAGTGGGTACTTAAACTGACCTATGTACAACCAACATAAATCAATAAAAAATAAAAACAACAGAGCCTCGTATAAGTGGTCAAAAGGGATATGAAATTTATTTACATTATTGTGCTCTTATCGTACATTCTTGGATTACAAACACAAATCAATTTCAACATTTTAATTTTAATATGAAATTTGTTGGATGAAGTTGATTGATTATTATGAATAACGTTTTTCTTTTCCTTGAAGTGTTGATATTAATTGTCTACTTGTAAACATATGCACAGTGGCTAAAATTAAAATTACGGGATACGTTTGAAAGTACCGGAGGATAATGAAGTAAACTGCACAATACGTAAGTAAAATAGGAAAATAAATAAAAAACTATTAATTTACCCCACTCGACCGGTCTTAACATGCACAACATCATTTATTATAATTCTATGAACATATAACACTATAATTATTAAATACATTTTTCCTAGAAACATTTAAACAAACTTTTTATCCGTGATGGTCATAGATGTTGATACAGCTATAAATAAACCGAACAAATAATTTTCTGATGCAATAAAAAATCTTGAATAATAATTATTTGTATATATTTTCTGTTGGATAGTGTTTTGTATCCAATTACAAAAACTAGTTATATATATGTGTTACATTTCAATTATTTATTATTATTATTATTATTATTATTATTATTATTATTATTATTATTATTATTATTATTGTTTTATATATTTACCAATTTACTTTAGTATTATCCAGTTTACTTCATTTTCCTTCTGTACTTTCAAATTGATTCCGTTATCTTCATTTTAGTCGCTGTATATACGTTTACAAGTAGCCGGAATTAATATCAACACTTCAAGGAAAATAAAATAGTTGTACATAATAATCGATGAACTTCATCCACAAAATAAGTGGTTTTAATTACCAATGGCTGATGGTAATAATTTATGAAAATTCCATCTGTGAAACAAGCATCTAAATGTGTTCTAAGTCGGGGAAAAATGTATTAGTGTTGCGCAATAATTCTATAAATTAACTATAACTTAACCTGTTATACCTTATCATTTATATTAACGCATTTCAATGTTTGTTTAAAAGTAATCTTATGAGTTCATGGCAGATGTTATAAAGAGAAAAACAATTTTCTAGACAAAAGTCAAATGACTATCCAGTACGTTGTTCGCAAATAAATCCCATTTTTCCGTCACAAATGTAGTCGTTGAGGCCTCCGGACTCTGTCCACACAGTCCCACAGTCTTCCTTTTTGTCCCAGTCGTCTGGCTGGCCCGGGTGCCAGCGCGCGTGGCCAAGGGAAGCGACAGGATCTCCTGAAAGAAAGAGGCAAACTGGCAGTGAAATCCCACGATAAGCTGGTAAATTTATGGCAAATTATGTAGGAGAGAAACAATAATATAATAATAAAAATATATAAACTCTGTTTTCATCCCAGAAAGTTAATTACATATAGATTAATGAACTAATATTATATCTAATTAATTAACTACAAAAGTATAAATTCGTTAGATTATCCTTTAATTTAAACACACAAAAGTTCAGTATTTTGGATAGCAGATATACATCAAAATAACAAAATATGTATAGAATTATGTATAGAATTGTACTAAAAACATGCTATTCTTAATGACATTTAAATACAATTATATAAATTCGTCACAGAACAAACTATGAATACTATTAATAATATTACCAAAAATAGTGACATAAAAGCCTTCCTGTTCCTTGTCATTGAATCCAATGAACAGCCAGGTGGAGAGATTTGGCGTTCGCTTCAACAATTGCAAAATCGCGTGGTCCTCTGCCTCCGAGTTGATGATGAGTAAATGGCCGCCCTCTGCTTCGCAAATCGCCTTCGCCTCTGCCCATGTGTGCAGTTCCTTGTGAACGCGGTAGAATCCTACGCCAGGAACACTCACATACCCTGGGCCTGGAGGCGGCGGAGGACCTGCGAATGAGAAAGGCAGATAATAGAAATATACCAGTTTAGCGAGATGCCTGGAGTTGGCACTCTACAATTACTATTACAATTTTTACTTCCTCGCTCTTACAGAAATACCTTACGAAGAGGAAGTTGTGTAATTATTTTACTGGAAAACGGAGAATTTTTCCAGAAAAGTATTATTTACTTTATGCTTTATGTTCGCAATAAAAAAAGTATCCGGCTAGAATGGCGCCAATCAAATTCTCTTGAACATTTTCATCGAATTAGGTAATTATTACCTCTGAAGGTATGTTAAAACTTCTCAAAACGCACCACGTCATCCTCTCACAAATATACTTATGGTGCTCACCCTTTCAAAAAATACGGTTTTTCGATAATGCTCTTATATTGTTTTCGAATGACTAGAATAAAATTGCCAGTGCCCATTACACATCTTCATGCTAAAACGCATCGAATGATACATCATTTTTCCAAACGCTGGACTAAAAGATGAAAAATTAATATATTATAACATTTAATATACTTCTTGATTCTGGTAACAACCTCGCAATAATTCGTAACATTCCCACACAAATCATTCCATACATCAACGTATCAGGGGATTTCTTCTTATTCAATATTTACAAAACCAAGAGTTGTAGAGAGTAATTTTTTTTACACCTCCAAAAGTAAACTTGGAAAGTAGCTTTTCAAATTGGACAAATTGTCGAACTAAAACTACAGAAATTAAATAGAGATTACGGACTAATACTTTCCCAAGAATTTAATACTCAGTAACTGGCAAATGTAATGCATAGGAGTAATTTTGTATAGTTATTATTAGAATAAGTAATTGCGTTGACCTTGGCTCTTCAAATCAGTATATCTACATCAGATGTGTACGTTAATTATAAAGATAAATCATCAATAAACATCTTTTCAGATACTAAACGTTTAGCGGCAAAGCAAATTTATTTGTAAAGGTATGTTCATCGCACTAAGAACACGGTTTTCATTTTACTACCAGAAATGACTCAACTTGTATGTAAATAATATTAAGATCGAGAGTTTTTAACATATTATTTTCGAAAATTACATGATTACACCATTTTCAAATACTCGTTATAGCGATTTATTTGAAATATACCAACGCTATATTTTTTTAAAATTCACTATTAAATTTTAAAATATGCATTTCCATGACAAAAAAATCTCTAAAAGTATAAACAATGAAGGGGGTTGATTTGCTTGCGAGATCAGCGAACGTAGTCACCTCTGATGGTGAGCGTGAGTGCGTCGACGCGAGCGCCCCCGCAGATGGCGGTAGAGGGTTCCACGTCCAGCCGCACCTCGCCCGCCCCGCCCCCCCCCAAAAAAAAAAAAGGAGAAGAATTGGGCTATTCTTCTTAAAATGACAATTTTAAATACATTTTATATAAAATTCGTCACCAAGAACAACTATGATACTATTTAATAATATTACCAAAAATAGTGGATCATAAAAAGCCTTCCTGTTTCCTTGTCATTGAATCAATGAACAGCCAGGTGGAAAGAGATTTTGGCGTTCGCTTCAACATTGCAAAAATCGCGTGTCCTTGCCTCCAGTCTTGATGATGAGTAAATGGCCGCCTCTGGCTTGCAAAATCGCCTCGCCTCTGCCATGTGTGCAGTTCCTTGTGAGCGGTAGAATCCTACGCCAGGAACACTCACATACCCTGGGCCTGGAGGCGGCGGAGGACGCTGCGAATGTAGAAAGGCACGATAATAGAATATTACCAGTTTTAGGCGAGATGCCTGGATGGACTCTCTCAATTACTATTAACAATTTTTACTTCCTCGCTCTACAGAAATCTTACGAAGAGGAAGTTTGTGTAATTATTTTACTGGAACAAACGGAGAATTTTTCCAGAAAAAGTATTATTTACTTTATGCTTTATGTTCCGCATAAAAAAGTAATCCGGCGAATCGGCGCCATCAAAATTCTTTGAACACATTTTATCGAATTAGGTAAATTATTACTCTGAAGGTATGTTAAGAACATTCTCAAAAGGCACCACGTCATCCTCTCACAATATACTTAATGGTGCTCCAACCCTTTCCAAAAAATAACGGTTTTTTCGATAATGCTTCTTATATTTTTTTCGAATGACTAGAATAAAATTGCCAGTGCCCCAGTTAACATCTCTTGTAACGCATCGATGATACAATCCATTTTTTCAAACGCTGGACTAAAAGATGAAAATTAATATATTATAACATTTAATAACTTCTTGATTGCTGGTAACTAAACCTTCAGCAATAATTCGTCACATTCCCACAAATCATATCCTACATCAACGTATAGGGGATTTTCTTTTATTCAATTTTAACAAAACCAAGAGTTGTAGAGAAGTAATTTTTTTTAACACTCCAAATGTAAACTTGGAAGTAGCTTTTCAAATTGGAAAAAGTTGGTCTGAACTAAAAACTACAGAAATTAAATAGAGATTATACGGACTAATACTTTCCCAGAATTTAATAGCTCAGTAACTGGCAAATGTAATGCATAGGAGTAATTTTGTAATAGTTATTATTAGAATATAGTAATTTTGCGTTGACCTTGGCTGCTTCAAATAGTATAATCTACATCAGATGTGTACGTTAATTATAAAGATAAATCTCAATAAACATCTTTTCAGATACTAAACGTTTAGTCGGCAAAGCAAATTTTATTTGTAAGGTATGTTCATCGCACTAAGAACACGGTTTTCATTTTACCTACCAAGAATGAACTTCTAACTTGTATTAAATAATTTAAAGATCGAGAGTTTTTTAAACATATTATTTTCGAAAATTACATGATTACAACCATTTTTTCAAATACTCGTTATAGGATTTATTTGAAATATACCAACGCTAATATTTTTTTAAAATTCCTATTAAATTTAAAATATGCATTTCCATGACAAAAAATCTTTAAAAGTATAAACAATGAGGGGGTTGATTTTGCTTGCGAGAATCAGCGAACCTGTATCCCTGATTGGTGAGCGTGAGTGCGTCGACGGCGAGCGCGCCCTGCAGATTGGCGGTAGAAAGGGTTCAACGTCCAAGCGCACCCTGCCCCCGGCCCGGCCGGCCCTCGACCGGCGCTCCAGCACACCTGGCTCCCAGTGGCCGAGGCCGTTCCGGCTGGTGCCACGGCCACGTCGTAGCCGCACGCGCGGCACTGCTGAGCGCGCACCAGCCCCCGCGCCCGCACGCACGCCAGCACAGGCGTCCACGGCCCACGCCTGCGCGCTTCTCCTGTGCAACGCAACAGGACCCGCGCTCAACGCTCAGCAGCGCTTGGAACAATCCTTCGTTTAGCCCCGCCGCGCACGCAACGCCAGCACCAGCACATCAGCGCCCACGCACGCGCCTTCCTGCGCACACAAACAGGCACCCGCTGCACTGCTCAGCGCTGGAACAATCCTTCGTTTAGCTCCCCGCCCGCCAACCGACGTCAGCCACCAGCGGCGCGCCCCACGCCGTGCCCTTCTGCGCACAACACAGGCAGCCCCGCTCGACAACGCTAGCGCTTGGAACAAGTCTTCGTTTTGCCCCCACCCCGCCACGCACGCAGCACCAGTATCAGGGCCCACGCCAAGCGGCCTTCTGCGT